ACACACACACACACACACACACACACACACACACACACACACACACATTGAAATGTATTCAAGTGCACTTACTTCAAAAAACTTGCATACTACAAATACTTATCCTTTTGATGGGCACAGAACACATACTCACACTGCCCACTCAAGCTTCTCGTTCTTGATCGAGTTATACAAAACCTGTGCAGGCAACAAAAGAGGGGACTTGTGAACATTTTCTTTTAAAAAAAAATAGACTACTGGGTTGGAATGACAACACAAACTTTAGTCTGTGGCTGAGAATAAATGAATAAATAACAATCAAGCTGACTCAGTCTCCTGTTGCTGTGCTACTTCAGGACGAGATCTGTACCTTTAATAAATCTTTGGGAAAGTCTTTGCTGTTGTTGAGACCTTCTAGATTACTGATAAACTGCTGACAGGACATCTTCTTCCCAATGTTCTGAGGAGAGGAGAACACACCAAGAGACAGAGAGAAATGAACAAACAACAATTTAATGATTTTTGGGGGGGGCATGTGTATGAAAAGATTTTTTAAAAATATATTATTATTATTTTAAAGAAACTGGTGCTTTACACCGAGTTTTATCGACTCCAATGTCGATGCAGATTAGATTCTGTCCACTGGGTGGCAGTGTTATACAGCTGAGGTACTACCGCAGTGGTAGTGCCTATATTAGAACATATCAAGCACACCTTTTACCAGCGTTTTGACCTCTAATCACGATGCCTCATGATTAGAAGGGAGATGTTTCTAACCAGAAGTGGAAATAAAACTGATCTGAAACTGATGTGATTCACACATTCCTCCAGGGAGGCTACATAGCAGGCAAGACAGCCCAGTTCCCTTTTCCAGCGAAAACAGAAATTATTCAGGATGTGATCTGACAGGCAGTGGAAAATGTTTTATTCTCTCTTTACTGGTATGATCCACTAATGGTCACAAGAAGATAATACTCTTACAACTTCAATGAATGATCAGTTTTCATTTAAGCAGCATAAATACCAACCAAACGTAGGTATTTAAATACTTTTGTCTCACTGAACGAAAGTATTTAAAAACCTACATTTTAAAAATATGACTTCAATTCTATTGTCAGCTGACAAAAGGAGGAGCATTTGTGAACGAGATGAGTGTTAGTACTGTACGTATACTTACCACCTGCAGGGGCAGAGAGAGACCAGGGGACCAGATATGGTTAGCAGAGGATGGATTTGAAAAGGAGGGAAAGAGATTGAGAAAAGAGAGGATTTTAATTAGAGAAGGCCTATTAAGTAAAACTACTATTAGCAGGAGGGTGAAGAAAAGCAAAGCAAAAAGCCTATGATGGATCATGTTATGCAGACCACAGTGTCCCTGTTTTTAGAAGGGAACAGACGAGACTACAGGAGGAGAGGAGAGACAGAAACAGGTCAGAAACTAGGCCGGGGAGGGGAGAGAGAAGCTGGGACAAAAGCACAGAAAGAGAAGGGAAAGAAGAAGAACTATACCTAAAAGAGGACATAGATAAAGACATTGCATTGCTGACAAAGGCCTGTATTTACACTCTGTTGTCTAATTCAGTTTTCAGTCCTGTGAGGCAAGACCTGAATGTCAACAACCTACATGTTTTGGGGACTCCAGACTCATTTAAAAAAAAGTCCCTGCCGGAGGTCCACTTTGGCTATGTTTGTATCTTCCTGAAAATCACCTTTCACTGATAATTACATATAGCTTTGATCTGGATGGGTCGATAATACTGCCTTTGGAAGGTGAAGGACAAGAAATCTTTCACTGTCAAAGCAAATGTGAAAGCTATTTAGCGAACGTCAGCTAGTTTATCTAACTTTGATGCATTCATTAGTGTCAGGGTCACTGTAGTCAGTGTTCTAGGGCAGCAGCAACAAACCAGTAACACTTTAGTTAGCGTTCCTTGTTCTGATGGGACTGAACAACTAACCAACATTTTGTTAAAGCTAAGCTTGCAAAAACAACAGGTAGATAGCAGACCTCACAGGTGGGCTTTCTATAGCAATATGAAGTCACATGAAGAGTGATTTAGACAAATGAAAGGTTGTTAATTCTGGGAATCAGAATGTCAGAGAAATACAATACATACATGTCCATGCAGATCTGTGTTGAGCAGCATGAGGGCGCAGGTCAATGTGTGGGCTCCATCTGTAAAGGGACAGTACACATGGCTGAGGTCCGCTAAATGTCACACCACTTCTTTCCAAGCACACACACACACTCATATAAAAACAATAGTGTACAAAATCAAGGTACATACAGTTTTTCAGCACGTGTCTGCAGTGCTGCACAAAATATATCTACACACTCAAATAATATCATCTGGTGCTATAAAGTGATTTGCAATAGTTACATTTTAAGAATTGAAATGCACCAGCTTCATCACTGCAATGCAAAACTATGGGCCATGGACATTTAGTCAACTGTTTTCTACATGGACACCAACAACAGCCATTTTTTTTGTCTTTTTTCACTTTCTGATTATAATACTGTTACCCTTGATTATCTTTATCATCACCTTCACAGCTCTGACCTTCAGAGGTGGGTGTCTGGGGGTTACAGTGGCAATAGCGTCTGGAGAAATGGACAAGGACCCGCTCTCTCTCCTGGGTTTCGCCCATCAGTGGAAAGGCCTTTAAGAAGTTCCTGCCACACATGAACAACCTTATGAAACATTTTTCCCAAAAAAACCCCAAAACTGCAACAGTTAGTCCTGCTTTTTAAAACTCAGGTCATTGTGGCATAGTGCAGTATGGTACAGGTTCCACATCTAAACTGTAAATAAATCAGAGGGGATGAGTGTCAAAATCATTGATTGATTTGTCAACTGACACTTTTGTTAAACAACAAAAGCATATTATTATCACAGATCTGAGCATTTTCTGTTTTTGTTAACTGTGCTAAATTTAAAGTTATTGGGCATCTTTCTTTGCCCTTAGACAACAATTCTGATGGCAAAAGAGCCAAACGGGACAGGCAAAAAAAAAGGGAAAAAAAGTTATTATTCTAGGGAAGCCATCTTGGTAGCTGACATCTTTTTTTCAGATTTAGATACAGATGATGCATCTAAAAAAATATTTTCAGAATTCATCACTTTGGCTGAATGTACTTTGAAGATCCAGAATATGTAAAGATCCCAACAGTACCAAAATGAATGCAGGATGTCACTTTTCATCAGCATTGTTCACTCAACTGAAAGTCCTGCACTGAAGGCAGCAGTCTGAGACAGCAACATGTCAGATACAAGACCGTGATGTACTCTGCAGCTGTCAGCTACACCAGCTAACTGTACTGAGCACGACAGCTTGATTAACACAAAGCTAATGTGTTGTGAAGAGGGAATGTGAAGAACACACACAGCCTAGGTGCATGCACTAATAGCTCTACCATCACACATTCATCACCTGCCAGTGCTGAGTGGGCATTACCTCAGGGCGCGATCCAGCGACAAGCCAGAGAAATCAAAGAAGCTCAGGTACTCTGATGCCACCATCTGGCTGAACTCATTACTGCAGGGAGACAGAAAGCACATCAACAAATGTTATATAAATGTTTGATAACACTATGTTACAGCCACGACTAAGGGTGTAACTCCCCTGTGATTAAACAGAACTTCATTATATTTTATTTCAAATTACAATACAGTTATATTTACCTACAAAACAGTTAAAACCTGACTTGTTACGCCCTTATTTTTGTGTGCCTACTGGGAAATATTTATAGATAATGGATACACATTCAGATATGAACACACATTGAGGAGTGTTTAATGAAACTTTTTTCTGTTTTGTTTGTTTGTTTGTTTGATTTTTACATCCATCATCTTTGTGTCTCGTGGATATGGAACACTTGTGGCAAGCCCACAAACCTCCCTGTATTGGACCATCACACCAGAGTGTGTGTCCCTGTGTTAACTGTCTGTATGCGTGCTCACTTCTTGCCCAGGTGTCTGGCCACATCGCAGCGTTTGAAGCCCTCGAGGTGATAGAGGCGCTTGGCAAGCCTCTTCGCAGCCTCACAGTCAGCTCGGCAGCCATTGGCCAGAGTATCCGTGCTCCCGTGTTCCAGACTGCCCAAATCACACTCATCTGAGTCAGACAGCCCGTCTGTGAGGTTGGCATCGCTGAGGAGGAGAACACACACACACACATGTAAAAACAAACACACAGTCGCACACACAAGCAGGTACCCAGGGTAATGAATGGAACGCATGCCCATTATGGACACCCACTCACTCACAGCTAAACAGAAAAAGCTCAACTGTGAAGCATAAAACTCAATTACATAAACATATGCTCACATGCATAGAAAAACAAGTCAAATGAGGTTCAAATGACTTGTTATGGCAGTGACCCACTTTCACTGTCACTTAATGTCCTACTTTGATGCAGTGGATATGATGGCTGATTATACAGCTGAAGCTGCTTTCACCTGCCCCAATCTCCTCTAAAAAGCCCCACTAATCTCAGACCGTGGACCACTAAGATAATTAGAATTAAAGGGCTATAACATAAAGAAAACCCTTTAATTCTACCCTTCTATTTTGGGAAAATGCAGCTGGGAAGTTAGTAAAGTAAGCTTCTCAGAAGTGACCAAGTAATGCTCCTTCCCTGGCCTCGATGGTAGCTTTCCCCAAACACCCAAATGTGCTAGTTAAACGCCCTTTGCAACCTCCTTGTCTATCAGTCAAATGTCTATTCCAGCTGTGAATGAGTCTGTGTGAGAGTATGAAACAAGGAGTTTATGCCAAAAACAGAATGCACTTAGTCACCCCTGCAGGAGTAATAAAGGTGAAGAACAGATAAAGTGAGTGTTGAGAACACGACAGAACGTGCTGTTTTCAGCGTAAAGTAATAACTTGCACAGGCTGAATCGATGACAGATTTCCAACACTATGCACCATGGTAACAATACATGGTAATGTTTCAAACTGAAATGTGTTAACCGTTGCTGGAATATACCATTTTATAAGCAGCCTGAACTGATTATTAAGCTCTTGTCTATTTCACCCAAGTGAGTTACTCCTTTAAGCTTATGCTTAAATATAAAATAAATAAATAAATAAATAAATAAATGAATCATACTTTCAGCCAGTAAAAGCCTAAGTAGAAGGATGTAAAACCACTGCAGGGGAAAGCATGCTCAACAGGCCTAAAGCTGCATAAATATCATTCATGCTCTGATCCTAGTGATCTAACACAAATTTGATGTTTATATGAATAAAGTCAACTTCATTCAATTTATTAGAAGTTCCACATGTATTGTCCAGGATCGATATAAATGGAATACATTTGACAGGGGTGGACGGGCATAAAAGCTTTTAGCCTAGTGATTTAGCACTGTACATTAAATTGGGGGAAGTAAAAACTTTTAATCTTTATATACCTTTTATAACCAGGAAATGGTGCTCTTCAGATTTAGAATCTCTTGGGCAAGAGCTTCCTGGCCAACACAGAAACATTAACCTATGATTAACCTAACATGTTTTTGATTGCAGGGGAACCCAGAGCTGACAGACTGAACAGAGAAGGCCCATGCACAGGTTGAGACATAGGACCTTCTTGCTGTGGGTAAACAGTGCTAACTTGCTTAACCATCATGTTGCAACAAAATGATTTTAAAAAACTGACACAGCAGCAGGAGCTGATGTTCTGACTTTTTAATCACTAGTATGGGTCATGCTTCAGAAAGACACTAAATTATACATTTTGCAAAATGAAACTTAAAAGCATCTTTCATCAGACCCTCCCTGTCTGGCAAACGCAGACATATTTCAAACACTGCACTGTCCAGCTTGTAAAACAGGATTTGGCGTTACAGAGTTTTACCCTGAGGACATCAGCAGGTTTCTGAGGCTTTCAGTCACAGAAGACACTACATAACTTCTGAGTAGCACCATGACAGCTAGGCTGAGTCTCATGCTACAGTTGGCAACCTTTAATAAATAAGGGCATTACTGCAGGCTGTGATGAAGGCTACTGGGGGCTGAAGGAGAGTTTAACAGTCTGTTTATTCAAACAAAAGGCCCCACATGCTCTGTGGCTGTTAAACTGTTGTAAAGACAGCATAGATAATCAATGCAGAGTATTAATTAGTGCCCTGCTTATGTATTTATGACTTACTGTGGCAGCTTGACTGATGTTATATCCACTGTGCTGCACTGCACTACATACTTTGCACACTGTTATGCATGCCAGAGTCAATCAGTGGGAAGCTGTGTAGCCTTTTTACTGGCATCTTAATAAACAGTGAGGATTGTTTTTGATTCCAAGTCATTTCTGTGACTTCTGTGTGTCGATAGAGACTTGACATTTCTCCACATGTGATGTGCACGTCTGTAAGACACTTGCTCCATCCAGACCCCACAGGCAAAGTATTGGTTAAAAGACAGCATAACGTCCATCCATGACGAAAAAAAAAAAAAAAAAAGCAAATGGAAATGATACACCACTCGCATGTTTACCAGCATCCTGATGACAAATGAGGTACACGCATTCACCTCCGTCAGTCTCAGCAGCATTTCTTCATTTCCTGCTGGTCTCTGCATCCGTGATGCGCCGCCAGCAGCCCCAACAGATGATTCAGATGTCTTTGCATAATGTGATCAGCCCAATTTCATTACCCTCGTAAATTCAATACATTAGGCACTGCTGTCGTAAAGGATTAGTTGGTTACTATGGATACAGCGGAAGCTAAGTGTCCCACGCTACAGGAAGAAGAATGAAAGTGGACAAAAATCCAAAGCTACAGGCGAAATCACAAATGACTAGTTTCCATAGCTAAGACTCAGTCCCCTGACTTCACGCACTTTAGCTGACTGTGTGCTACACCCATACAGCTCAGTACCACAAAGGACTCTGATTTCCCTGCTCCAGGCAAGGATCCACTTTCATGTCTTGGCTGATTCATTAATCTCATAGAATCATCATCTGGCCCTTGATCTGCTGGGGCCAATTTGCCTTGGTAGCAACAGACTATTACCCCCATAAACAGAGTACCCAGAGTCACAGGATACATAAACTTCTTAACCACCAAGAGTTGGGTCATACAAACTTCTCCAACTTATCATAGCAAAGCATCACTTCCAAGAATGACAACGAGATTGCAGATAAAGCCAGCAGAAAATGGCCACTGACAGCGTGCAAAGGCTCAGCCTTGGGGACAGGGTGGGGAGTTTCCGGGAGGAGAAAAACTAGCTGCTCTTTGGAGTGGAAAAGGGGCCATCAGATCTGGTTTAGGGATGCGATTAAAATGCTTCCTGCACAGCTACCCCATAGCCAGCTCCTCATCAATACACAACTCTCACCCACAAAAGCTTAGTTACTTGAGACACAAACAATTAGATGAAGGGAAAAAATTCATAACAACAGGCAAACATGTTGATATACACCTAATAAAATGAGTGTGCCAGACCATTAAAACAATATCCAGCCTGGTGTTAGCAGTGAATGTGCTTTCACTTGTCTGATCATATTAATTCACTGCATTCAGAACGTCCTTATAAATCATTCAAAACTCATATCAGTCGTGGGGCTAAATTGCTAAAACGATGCCAGTCTCCCTCCCGTGCAACGGTCTCTGGCACACAAACACAAAATATTAGTGAGAGGGACACAGTATTAAGTGTCAGCTATCTAGTGCAGGTCTTTTGTGAAAAAGACACTCAGAGTTACTGAGGGCCAAGTGGCACACAGCAAAGCTATTAGTCTATGTGAAGGCACAATTTTGTATCCCCAGGCCAGTCTTATTCAGTCAGTGTGACCGCCACTCAGTCTGCGCTCGTGTCTGTGTGACTGTGTCATACTCAGAGCATGATAGGACATGTCTCTGACTCACATGCTAATCTCTTTAGCTGTGTACTACCCATGCCCACAGCTACAAGGTGTGTCTGTGTAAGGTGTGTGTGTGGGTGTGTGCATGAGGGAGGAAGTGGAGGGTCCTAAATACATCTTGGATGAGTGTAATTACCAATTATGGGGTAAACCAAATTGTAAAATTCTGTGATTTTACAGGCTCTTCTTTTGCTTTTATATAGCCTACACTGATCTATGGCCAAAGTGATGTATAGCAGTAGAGGCAGAAGTAAAGCTCTGTGTGTAGTTGTGCAAGCGTGTCAGTGAGGTCATCTGTTTCAACTTTTAGATTGAGTCTTGGCAGAAAATGAAACTAAAAACAAATGTAAGAACGGAACCTAATACAAACAACAAAGGCACCTCTGTGAATAAAAACACTCGTTACCATTAGTTCAGTGAACTGATGACAGTAGCAGCCTTTACTGTTTATTAATAAACAAACAGAATCACACACATTACTGACATTTGCTCTTTTCCGTAGGGTATAACACTGGTGGCTGCTACAACAAATCAGCCGTACTGATTTTATAAGAAGCAGGCAGGTGACAGCAATCAGGTCTTTGGCTACAAACCATTTATTACATATTTTAATACATCACTAGAACTGAATCCAACAATAACTGATTAAGACATTAATCACTTGATCAGTAAGCTAGTGATAAAGTGACTTATTTTTAATCATTTTCCACTTAATCAGAGGGGTGGTGTTTTTAGTTTTGGCTCTTCGTTTCCTACCACTGTAAACCCATCAACCTGAACTTGGCAGCTTATGATCTGTCATATCTTCAATTAAATACTGAACTGAACTCTGCTGTACCCACGACATCAAATAATCTATCTAGCAATAGGTGAATTATTAAAACAATAATAATAATAATTCCAGCAGATTTGTTTTTTGTTTTTTTTTTTAATTCAAATGAAAAGTAATTATAACCCAGTCCAGCACATCGTCAGCCACGTGCCACATTAGATTAATACGGTTTGTCTTTTTCTTTTCTTTTTTACCATAAATATGCCTTTCTATGAATATTATTCTAGTATCATGGGGATTTTTCGCCAGGGTCAACTTACACCACAGCTACCTCACTATTTCCATTTTGCCACGCAGCATAATTGTTAATGTACCCACCCATCTGGAGATCGGAGCTTTAAAAGAGTTTACAGAGATAAAGCCAAGCTTACAGGAGTTGCAGCAAAAAGTCGAAGTGAACATCATATTCCTCTTTCCACATCTCGGATCTTGGAAATTAGCGGTTAAAGGCGTGCTACG